CAGTGAAACCAGTGGGGCTTAAAAATGTTTGATTGCAGTTGGATTGTGTCCAAAATGATGAAAAAATTCAGCACTGTCCTCTCTCTACAGAATTGTTTTTTGACCCAATATGATTAAAATGTACCCCAGATCTGTGATTCAATCATTTTCACTGCTTATTTCCTTATGAACAATTTGCAAAACAGTGGTCAGAACTGTTCATCTTCTGGTAAGGATACAATACATAAAACAAAAATGATTAATCAACAGGGTCTGTGTTGCTGTAGCTACACTGTAAAGTATGTGGATTATGGAATTCTGCACAGAACTCAGCAAACACAGGCAAATCCCAGACCTCTGAGTTGACTTCCACTGTATTTCTTGAAAATAAGTAAGTAGTCCTCATGATTGTAAAAACCAAGTGAAAACACATTGATAGTTTCTACTGAAACAGATCTTTTATGTACACATTGTAACACTCTTTTCCCTTTCAAGTCCACGTAATAAGCCCCCTAAAAATATCTACATTTGCTCCTAGGCAAATTTTGTAATGAATGGATGAAAACTGGCTATGTGAACTTGCTGATTTGCACAATGCCTTCTAATTGCAGCCTCTTAATCCAGGGTCTCTGATTGGTCATTTCACAGTTATTATTCAAACCACTAATGCCAACACAATAAAGGTGCAATTCTATACAAGTTTATAGAGGAAAAAAGGCTGACAACTCCCAGCAAGCCAGAAACTGCAGGCCTTTTACCTGTTCAAAGAGGCACAGGATTGTATCCTAAATAAATAAACCACAGCAGTAATGTACACGTTTGTTCAGATGTAGATCCTATTGTATTTAGTGAGACTTACTCACTGGTAAGCATGCTCAGGACTGCAGCCTTCATCCTTTATAAATAAGTCTTGTGAAGTAAGAGATCCTGCACAATTCCCATGACGTTATGGGAAAACTGCATAAATGCCAGTAAACACAAGCAATTTCCAGCTAATTTCCAAAGGTATGTTTGCTTCTTTCTTGGCTCTTTTTGCTCCTTTCTGGGCACAAGTACCGTTATTTTTAGTGAAAGAAACTCTATAATTTCCAGAGCTGTGAGTTGTCACTGCTCATGCACTGTTTTTGAGGGGGAGGCACAATTCTTTTCTGCCAGGGTTTATCTGAAGTTTCATAAACAAGGATGGCACTTTCTGTTTAAATTATTTTCAAGAGTGTGGATCTGTGAGAGTCAGTGTTGACATTAAATTGGCAAGGAAGTGTTGGCAGTGTTGACATTAAATTGGCAAGGAAGGGTTTAAACCCACAAGGTGAATACGCTCTTGGAGCATGCAGGAGGGTGTGATAACCACAGCAACCCAAACATCTGCCCATGCACAGAAAACACATAGGAAGCTGCCTCATTCTGAGCCCAAACATTGGTCAATCAAGATCAGCCTTGCTCAAGCTGGTATGATGGACTACACCTCTCATGTTGACGGGGAGAAATGGGAGTTGTGGTCCTTTACACTCAGAGGGCACCCAGTTGGTATAGGCTGATTATCATCAGCACCTAGAGAGCTACAGACTTGGAAGGGACCTTGGAAAGCATCTAGCTCAGCCTCCTGCTCTGTGCAGCCTTTGCAATGCAGGATGCAGCTGCAGCACCTCGGGTGGTCATCTAGTCTCTGATTACATACCACCTGTGAAGGTAAGCCCAGCTCTTTCCAAGCAGGTGTAGTCCTAGATACCAAAAAAAAAAAAAAAAAAAAAAAAATCTGGTGCTCAGGCCCATAGGCCCAAAACAGAAAAAAGGGGCCAAACTTGCATGTGCTAATTTGCATGTGCACTAAAGTCTCTCTCTGTGTGTGTCTGCATGTCTTTAAAGGACCTTGTCTCCCAAGGACATCCCATGTGAAAAGGGATGTTTGGACAAGGAACACAAGGTCATTTAATTTCAGGAAAAAACACTCAGATTCAAGGGTGTACGGGGCAGGACAGGAAGCGCATGTGGGCAAAGCACCAGCCCATCCCGCAGATGCCATGGAAGGGTCCCTGTACCTTTATTTCAGCAAGTGCCCAGGGACAGCAGGGTGGTGGGGCAGATGGCTTCCTGGAGATTTGGGGTTCCAAAGGAAAGTCTTGGGGCTCCAGCCCTAATGGGCCGTCTCTTAACACTGCCTCTGGAAGATTATCCTAATGTTTAGACCATGGGTCCTCAAACTATGGCCCGGGGGCCGGATGCGGCCCGCCATGCCCATTTATCCAGCCCGCCTCAGAGGTTTTCAACGTGCCCGTGTGCCACACGCGCACTCACCACTGCCGCCCACCTCGGCTCCCACACGGGGAAGCAGCAGCTTGCTTGTGCGCAGATCGTTTTGGACTTGCGTGGAGAAAACGATCTCCCAGTGAGCAAGCCGCTGCATCGCGCACCCGCCCCGCCTCGCCCCGCCCCTCGCTTTAGTGCGTGCATGCGCATGCCCCATGCCCACGCTGGCCCACGCGGCCTGCCAGCACCTTTCTGGCCCGTGCCCAAGCACTGGCACCTTCCACTTGGCCCCCTGGTGAAAAAGTTCAAGGACCCCTGGTTTGGACAGTATTGCTGCCTAGCTCCCAACGACTGGTTCCAGCCCTGTCCTCTGGAGCAGCGATGCAATCCGCTGAATTTTCTGCATGAGGGTCTTTCAGCTATTTGAAGACTGCCATCAAGTCACCCTGGGATCTTCTCCAGGGTAAACATACTGAGCTCTTTCAACCATACCTGATAGGAGCTCCCAAGGGTCTCAGACAATGATCCCCTCCCCACCTCCTATTTCTTTTGAGCCACCCATTTTCTTTAAAGTAAAGATACCAGAGATGCAGCCCAGAAGGTTCTGCATGCAAAGCATGTGCCTTACGGCTGAGCAACGGTTTTCTTCCTCTCTGTATACATGGGTTTCTATCAGATGTTGTCCTGTGTGAGTTAAGGGTGATGACAGGCATAATGAATGCAAAGCAGCAGAACTGGTCTTAAAGCATCTGCGCTGTAATGGGCACCATGGGATGACTCCTCTCAAGAGCTGAATTTGTGGGTTGGGGCAGGGGGCACGGTGGTTCCATATTTTTGCAGCAAATGCCTGGAGGGGGGCACACAGCACTCCCTCCCTTAACCCAAGAGGCAGTTTTGGAAACACACTTTTAAAGCAGGTGCATTTAAAAGGGAGGAGTGAAGTATGAGCATAGGAACAGGCACGAGTCACTTAATATAGAATAGATATCCTAAATAAAATATAGAAGTAGAATAGGCAACCTGGTACCCTCCATATGTTTGGGAGAACAACTTCCATAAGCCAAAGATGGGATTCATATTCCAAAAAGTATGACAAATACCAGGTTGTTCTCTCTGGCTTCATTGGCATGTTGCTCAGGGAGATCTAAAAGACAAGAGGAGTAACTGCTCTTTAAGTTTCTCTTTGACCTAAGGGTGTGCCTGGAACACATATACACATCCTTACAGCCTGCACAGAGGAAATCAGTAAGGGTGGAGAAGTGTCTTTTTGGAGAAGCTGTCCCACTCTTGCTGAGCCTCACACTAAGGAAGCTCTAGGAAGCTGCTACAGAAATCTAGAGTCCCAAGGTACACAATTTGAAAATGATCCATTCAAATAAACTTTAGGTGTGATGGAGACAAGCAGTCTGAAGAGCTAACAGTAGTTACAGTGACGTGTGTGTAGTTCCTTGGCATAGCACATCCAAGCTGTTCAGCAGCCATGGGTGCAATAAGCAAAGGTCAAGACCACTTCTGATAGTAGAGTCTCAGCTCAGAAGCAGCACTGCGCCTATTAATGCATGGCAAAGAGATTTTATGTAGCTGGACTTTGACTAACTTAGAACAGTGAGTAAGATTTTGCTCAGTGGTAGATAACATGCTTTGTCTGCCAATGGTCCAAGGTTTCATTCCTGGCAACTCTGATTAGAACTTGGCCAACAGACATGGCTGGCTGGCGCTGCAGTCCAGCCTATCTTAGGGTCCTAGGTTGGGAAACATTGGTGCAGAGAAGTGGGCAGAGAGTAGATCTCCAGATTTTTGGACTTCAGTTCTCACAATTCATGAATATCAGTCCTTTTACCAGGAGCTGAAGTCCCAAACATCTGGACTCTTCTTACCTTCTGCCTTCTTCTGTTGTAGATGATACTGAGTTAAGATGGACCAATAGTCCAACTCACTATAAAGTAGCTTCCCACAAGCCCACATGTTTTAGTATCAGAAAACTACAGGTGTGTTGCAAAATGAATATACTGGGCCTACATTTCTGATGTAATGGAGAGCTTGTGTGCTGATCTTTCCAGGTGATTTTGCTGGTCTTGTGTAACCATATGTTTCCATGGCTCATGACGACAACGAAAAGCTTCAAAATGTGGGTAACATCAGGAGATAGCAAGTAACCATCTCAAACCACCTGTCCATTCTCAAGATATCATAATAGCCAACTTGTGATAATAGATCACTATAGATCACTATTTCAACCACCCTCTGCAAAGTAACAGCAGAGTGACACGTTCAGCAAATTGGCAGGGTGCTTACGTGGCTCTTACATGTCGTATTTCTTGTGCATGGACCACATTTTTAATGTTCTCCACATTAAAAAAAATCCCTATGTAAGAAAAGCTGTAAAACATCTGTAAGAAGAGCTCTAGCTTAAACCTTTCCCTATCCCACCAACTGTCTACATGTGATGGGGGGGCAGGGGGAGAAATGGAAGCATTAAAATACTATCCCTCCACCAGCACCTACATGGTAGAATCTAGATGGCGTAAGGGGATTCTCCTATGTATAGTCAGTCATCATGCAAATCTATGCCTAAGAGCCAGAAAGGGAGGCAATGAAAGTTAAGATTCCTATGGCACTTTGCTGTAACTTTGCGAATCTGATTTAAAATAATAATATTTTTTTAAAACCCTGAGACTTTACTCCTGTAGGTTGTGTGCAAGGACTTGCCGAGTCCCGTTCTCGGCTGCCTCGTATTCCCTTCCTTCACGCTTTGTCCTCTGGAAGGATGCGTCCTAGCCATCTGCGCGCGGTCTCTCAAACCAGTTGGCTAAATTCTGGATGGTCTTGCGCTGCTTCCCCGCAGTCCGGACCGCATCGCAAACCCTGCAGCAGTGCTCGTTCCAGAAAGACGTCTCCTGCACGCTGTACCGCTTCCTCCAGGAGAAATAGCGCAGGTACTGGCGCTTGTTCTTGTCGAGGAATTTCAGGTACGTGGCCAGCTGCGAGGGGCTGGAGAAGTCGTCGACGTGGATGAAGGAGTCCGCGGGCACAAAGAGCTCGTAGTTGGACCGCGGGGGTCCCAGCACGATGGGCACGGCCCAGGCCTTGAAGGCGTTCCTCCAGAGCTTCTCGGTGATGTAATCCTGGTGCTGCGAGTTCTCGAAGGACAGGTAGAACTTGTACTCCGAGATGGTCTTGACCACGCTGTCGTCCTTCAGCCCCAGGCCCCGCGACCCGTACAGGTCGATGGGCAGGTGCTCCTGCAGCTGGCGGTAGTAGCGCACCCGGGCGTGCTCCTCGTTCCAGTTGCTGATGACCCAGGCCACCAGCTTGGTCTTCCTGGGCAGCGCCAGCGGCTGCCCCGGGGCGCGGCTGGGCCGCAGGTAGCCGTAGGGCACGAAGACGTCCGAGTCCGCGCGGTAGGTCATGGTCCAGTTGAACAGGCCGGCCAGGTGGCGCAGCCCCGGCGAGTGCGAGGGCGACTCGAAGTTCATCCACACCCAGCGCTGCGCGGGCGGCCGCAGCCGCGGCAGCTGCCCGAGCCCCTGCAGGACGAGGTCGCGGTGGTGGAAGAGCACGGCGTGCGCCTCCTGCTGGCGCGCGCGGTCCGTGGTGAGGCGGCAGGCGCGCACGCCGAAGCGGCGCAGGCAGTCGCCCAGGCGCCGGCTGCGCCCGAAGGGCTCCCACCACAGCAGCACGGTCACGGGCGTCGCCTCCTCCTCCTTCTCGCCGGCCCCGCCGCCGCGCCCCGCCGGCCACAGGTGCCGCTGCCAGCCGCCGCCGGCGCACAGGGCCAGCGCGGTGCAGC